CCCCAAAACCCCAAAACCCCAAAACCCCAAAACCCCTTAAAATTATTTAAAAATTGAAACATCCGGATTCCAAAACCCTGCTTCAAAATCACAAAATTACTTCTTTAATTTTTAGACTCGCCATTCTATTCTTCTTTAGCCTTGCTTTTCTCCTTCTCCTCTCTCTTCTTGCCGTACCTACAAATATCAGTGAAGGAAAGAACTTACTTCTTAGTGTAGGTCCTGGCTAAAGCAGCCTCAACCTTTTCAGGATTGTTTGTCTCTTCCTTCTTGAATTTGTTCTTTATCTGGGTTCTGTTCCTTGCTCCTTTGAATTTAGATTCGATCATTGTGAAGTCAGTACCCCATTCTTCAAGGAATTTGAAGAAAAGTTCAGTCTCTTCATCACTCCACTTCTTAGTATTGCTCTTTCTTGGGTAGATCAAAGCATTCGAAGTTGTATACTCATCGTCATTGATCACCTTGAAGTTCTTAGGGTCATCTTCAGCTCTTCTGAAATTAGACTCCTCGATCATGAGGGAGCTCTGATCAATCTGGACTTTACCATTGACCAAAGTAATTCTCTTATGAAGCATAGCAGGTTTAGGAGGAGAGGTAACTTTAGTCTCTTCATCTACCTTATCACTTTTGTGACTTGGAGAAGCAACCTCAGCTTTCTTAGTCCTTTTCTTTCTCTTTCCTGTGAACTTATGAGAATTAATTATGTCTTTGATAGTCACCCTATTAGCCTGTTCTACCGGAACGACCTGAAGGTTATGTGAACCAAAATATTTAGTATTTCCGATACTGTTAGAACTGCCTATAATTTTATAAACTTCCAAAGACCCTTTTAGTTATGAAATCTTGAACTATAAAACTTACCTTTTTCTTCTTTCTTAATCTCAGAATCTTGCGGGGAACTTTGAGGGTCAGGTTCTCGATCTTCTTGGGTCTGTTGCCCATTAAAAACACTGGACTTATGAGTATCGATCTGCTCATTCTTTATCTTACTTTTTCTTTTAATAACTTTCTCTTTGTCTGACCCGAACTCCAGCTCTGGATTGTTCTTATTAGCCGATTTAGTATGATTGTCTATATCATTTGTATTTCTCTTTGTGTGGCTGCGCGTCTTCATTTTATTATAATTTTGTAAAAATTATCCAGTAAATATCAATATATGCTCAATTAATAGGGGTTTTGGGGTTTTGGGGTTTTGGGGTTTTGGGGTTTTGGGG